GCAGCATTTTCACGTGCTTCCATACTCCCCAACTTCAGCACATGGACTATGCCAGGCACTGCCCTACAGGACATGATACTTCTCTTATTATTGTCACAAATTGAAAGGTTGAGCAATGCTGTCACAACATGTTCTTGAGTGAGGGGGTCTGTTGTTGAAAGGAGGCCGACAAGGTGAGGAATTGCACCAGCTTCAGCAATGGCCACGCGATTATTTGCATTGCGTTTCGCAAGGAGGCGGATCTCACCAGCAGCCGATCGCTTGTCTTCAATGTTACCTGATGTGAGTTTGTGGAGTAGAGTTTCATACCTACAGCGTTCGGAAGGAGACAAGAGTTCATTGGGCTGAGAACTGCTGGTTCGTTTTGGTGGTTCAACCCCATTGGCCTCGCACCATTGAGCTATGAGACTACGTAAAACATAATTTGGTGTAATAATTTTGCTGGTGAGGACTTGTTGAGTTTTAGGGCATGTTGATTGCCCTGCTTCCAGCCACTTCTCAATGTAAGAACGTTCATAGGTCTATAGAAAGAAACAGAAAGAGAAGGAGGAATGCATTAGGAATTGTTCTTAGTAAGATTGACATGTTAATTTTTTAATCCAAAGCGACTGATGTAAAAATTGGACAGAATACTAAATTACATTGAGTATCATCAATATTTAAGATGCTCGATGCAGCTTTGTATTTTATTTTGAACTCTCAATCCTCAAAGGAAATTCTTTGTTTTATTATGAAACCAAATTGAGGACCCTTACGAAAATAGCTTTTCTTCCAATAATTGAATAAAATAAAACACTATTTTCAAGATGATCTAATTTTCTTCTAGTAGCATTTAGTAGACACTTCATAATTGGGACATCGATGTGTAGTAGCAACCTACTTAATCTGGAAACAAATAACAGGGGAACAGGGAATTTCTTTCTTTATTTTTCTCTTTTTTAGGATTAGGAGCAAGTATGCTTGTAAACATCATGAATTAAGCGCAGAAGACGTAAATACCTGTCCTGTGGAGACAATGACGGGATCTATCATCAACTCTAGGGATATGGGGCACCGAAAGTCTTCAGGTATGAGAAGGGACGTTATATCTTTCTTCTCAGCAGTTGCTTGTCCACCAGTGCGAGTATGACTTTGTTGTTTTGAAGGAGCACCAATTTCAGGGTTTTCAGTTAGCACAAAATCTTTTATTTTCTTCAACAGTGTTGACATTTTCTCAAATCTCCCCCCTGGATCTCCATCACTAGCCGAAACCATTTCATGTAAAGCAAGAGACTCTTGAGTAAGATCAGCTATATCCATTAGCTGCAACTTTTCAGCCAATTCCTTCAAGACAGAAGGATCAGTAGCAGAATCTTTGCTGTTGTTATAGAGAGAGTGGAGATTAGTATACAGTTCAGCATCTTGTGTATCTATCCTTCCTTTTGCTCTTTTGAATTGAGAGAGAACAAGCTCAACCTGGATTCAGAAAGTGTTAGATATGCATACAATACAAGTGTTATACAACATTTATGGGTCATTAAAACCTTAGGATGCTTTTCATTATTAGGCGTCTTGATTATTTTGCCAGTACAAATTTTGGAAGTAAAATACAAGTTGATTGAAACTCCAAGGTTATACCCGATGCTTCAATTTATCAACTGGTACCTCGGAAGTTTCGTAAGGTTAGACTTCCATGGGACACCATTAGATTGGTCAAGATTCGAAGTTATAATCTTTCAACGGTCAAGAGTGGGTAGAAACCGATAAAGGAGCAATACGAATCCCCTTTGAGATCAATGAGTAAGGAACTAAATGCTGTTAATTTTTAGTCTCCTTTCTAGGATATCATTTCAAAGATGTTAAGAACAAAAAATGCCGTAACAAATCCTCTACCTGCTCCTTAACTTCATCAGATATGTCTAGATCATCATATGAAATTTCATTCAGGGCTTGCTCTAGTCTTGATGTCACCTCGTGAAACTTATTCAAAGTTTGCTCTCTATCCAGGGCCTGCAATTTAAATAAAGAAACAGATAAGATCAAGGACGGTAGAAGGAAAAAAAAACAAAAGATGTATTGAACATAGCATTAAAGAAGAAATAATCTGATCAGATGCTGAGATTCGTCTCACATCAGTTTTCCCGAACTTCAGCAAAACCATGATGTTTGATTAAGAATAAATTTCAATTTTAGATGCAACCAAAATCATATCATTGCACAAGGCCAAAATCTAATTTAGATTACATACGAGTAGAACCTTGAGAAGTCGCAAATCACACTGTCGCCAGCATCATATGTAAATTAATACGCAGTATACGCATAAGATCATGCAAACCAAGAGATCCACAAGTTGGCTGGCTAATTTAGACTAACGATTGAACGCCCAATTTTCTAAAATTATCGTTCCTAAAGTGCATCAGCCGCAACATAAATGTCGCCAAATCGATAGAAATTAAAGCCATTAGCCAAGTGTGGCTGAGCCGGGATTCTCTTTTGGTGGAATATGGCCATCGAAACATTATTTCCAGGAGTGTAAAACCCAGTTTTCAGCCTGATGAAAATGTTCTGTTACAAATACAAATGGAATCGAAAGTACGCTCTGAAAATCACAATAACCGAGAATCTTCATTCGCTTTCTTTCTTTTTCCATTAGCCAAACAGGCATCCGAAGCAAGAAAAGAGAAAACACAAAATCAGAACGAAAATTCACCAATTCACCACGCCTGAACAACACCGCAGGGCAGAACATACCACGCTTACGAACAAATAACACACAAACGATAGAAAACGCACCAGATAAATCTTGCTCCCCTCGCTCCCCAGTCTAAGCAACTCCTTGGTCGACTCCAGAGCTTCCTTCAACGAAGCAAGAGCTGTGACGGTAGCATCCGCCAGCGCCTGCTTCTTCATATCCCTCATCTCCTCGAACATTGGGATCAACAGCTTCAGCCGCCTAGCTAAATTACAATACTGCCTTCTGACCGCATATCTGTAATCTGAGATTGAAGCTACATCGTTCACCAAGCCGATCAAACTCCGAACGGAGCAGCCATTATTCGCCTCCTCCATAATCTCTCGGCCAAACAAAATCTCTCAAAATAACCGCCAACAGCAACAAAAGGAACAAGAAAAAGAGAAAGAAACGCATCAAATTCTCCAAAATCTTTGCGTGTTCGCCAGCCGACTCTCGCCGTGGAGTTCAAAATATCTCTCCATAATCGCCCCCGTGAGAGAGAAAAAAGCTTCCATCAACAAAGACGAAGACTCAAGAAAGAGATGCGGGAAACGAGCGCAAGATTTTTTTTTTCTTTTACTTCCGATTTTGCAATTAAAATCCGAATTCCTTCCATCCCGCCCAGGGCGGCGCGGCTGATGAATTAGCCAACACGGCAGCCGTCGAGGTCAGACCGTGATTATTGGGGTAGTCCGGCGGCTACGGCGGCGCGGCTGAAGAATTGGTAAAAGTCGGCTCGGCTGAGGGGTGGCTGGGCCTGGTCTAGATGGCAAATAAAATAATTGTGGGGGCCATTTTGCAGTGCGCTTAACTCTAATACCTAATCATTATCTGTATCGAAAAGCAAAGAAATTAACGATAGCAACGCAACAATAATTGAATGTAATTTATTTTACTTCTAAATTTTACTGTTAACTTTATTTTACTTTTTGTATTTTTTTCCACCACTGCTTTCGGACACCGGTTGATTTTGTTCCTTTTATAGTTTACATAATATTAGCTCCTTAGAATAAAATGTACATTGTAATGGTAATTGGCATATATCTTGGTGAGTTCGATCTCCCATCAAAACACATTGTACTAAAAAAAATGTAGTGCAGCGACTAAAAATATTTTTTAACATTTTTTCTGTAACAAAACATATACATCATATACTCTTTATATATAATTGAAGTGTTCGAAGAGAAAAGAAAAAATAGATCACCAATCTAATCTATGAATTTTTAGAGTTGTATCTAATTATTATTTTTTTTAATAGTATATAGATTAGAAACTTAATAGCCACGAAATTGAAAGTTTAGAAACTTATTAATCGCGATTTTAAAATGTTCTTGAACTAGGCTTAGACTTATATTTTAATTTTTAGTCTATAAAATACGAACACTTTTTTGTTTGGTTAAATAATTTTTGTGCTAAAAGAAAACAATTGTAAGGATGCTGACCGAACAAAATTGTAATAAATATATTGTTTATTGAGTTTTTTCTTTAATTTATTTAATAGAGTGCTAACTTATAGTTGGATGGACAAAATATTGACAATTTAGTGACTTTAGAAATACATTTTAATTCGCAAAAGAAAACATTTAATACAAATGTTTTGTTTTGATTTGATTTTTATTATCTAAATAAATATAATAACCACTGCAAAAGAAAGTTGCTAATTTAAAATGGTTGAACTATACTTAGTGTTATTTTATTTTATTTATTCAAGACACGTGGAGACCAAATCTATACTATGTAAGATCGTAGGACACAATCTATGCTATAAATAGCTAGTGTCATAATTGATACATTTTATATTTGATTTTGCTTTTTATTATTCTTATTTTATCCCTATTTTGTTTAGAGTCAACAATTATATTTTATTTTTTAATACTCAATTAGATTGTTTAAATGGATATAACCTCATATAAATTTAGATTTAAAAAAAGAATAAGGGGCACGCTCTAAAGAATTTGAAGGAAGCTTTTGTAACTTTTAGCAACTTCATTGTAATTGTGATGACATTAGTATAATTGATTAAATAATGACAAAAATAGTTTCATTGATTAATGCCCGTTTAATACGAAATAAATCATATATTAATTTATCGAAAAAAGATTGTAAATCATATATTATTTTTTAGATACCTTAATGTTTTTCGTTTGATTAAAATTACTAAACTTTATACGTTTATTGCTAAAATATAAGATAAAACCAAATAAAAGGTTGAAAATGTGTTTAGAAGACCATTTGTTACCATGTAAATAAATATTTCTTTTTAAAGATAATTACATAAATAACACGAAATAAATATGTAAATTTGGTAAAATTAGCATAATCGAGATTAACCTAAAAATTCAAATATAATATAAAATACATAGAAAAAATGAAATTTATGGTATAATTGAAAAAATGGAAAGTTATAACATTTTTAAAATACATTTTAAATTTTTGCCATGTATTTAAAATTATTCTCTTTTTTTTGTTTTTCTTTTCCTTTTTGTTTTAGAAACAATGGTTTTAATTAGCTTTAGATCCATGTTACTGAAAATGATGGTAACTTCTACGAACTAACTTTCCTCGTTTCGTTTTTTGAGGGTTTAAAATATATCTATAAACAAGTGTTTTAGCATTTATTTTTGGCTTCAAGAAAGTTCAAGAAAATGATTTTAAATTATGTGATTTAAAATTCGAAAAACAAATTTAAATTATTTATCTTCTTTGAAATATTGAAACGAATATAACTAAATTTATTTGTTTGAGTGTTCGTTGAAAATGAAGAGAATAAGAAATTGTATGAATTAGGATTTTTATCTAAATTTATTAATTAGAAATTAAATTATGACAAGATTAAAGAAGTAAGTTACTTTGTAATTCTATGGAGTCAATTATTTTTTTTTCTTTATGCAAAAACAAAGATTTCAAATTATTCTATTTTTTATGATAATAAGCAACATAATTCATTTGAAATTCATCAAGATTTGAAATCACTCAAATTCCAAACCAAACGTAAGAGTTTTAACTCGAGATGATTGTGCAACGGTATACTATGACTACCCGACTAAACTTGAATGGATTCGTTGCGTTGCTTACATTCTCTAACAACTATTTACCATATTTACATAGACAAAATATTCATGTTTCCAAAGTATGTCATGTTTATCTCAGACAATATAGTTAATTTATATAGATTGCATAATTATGTAAATATGTGCATACGCCAACATTTGAGATTCATTGATGATGTGATATATTACACCCGACATCATCCTCAAGTTAATTTTATCAACTTTTGATGCTCATCGCTTCGTACATCCAAGATGAACCGCCATATAGATCTATACATTTGGGGCCACAGTATTATCCACGACACAAAACATGATATGAGATAGTTTATTTTGGGCAACAATACCATCATTTTTTAACAAGTCTCTAATAATCTAATACTAATATCTTACTTATACTCCTAAAAAATTGCAATCAAATAAATGACAAAAGTCAATATTAATATTAAGGGTTAAAAAAAGACATGCATGCAGGAGCGTTAAGCTATATTTTGATTTTAAAAAATTGTAAAGAAAATATAAAAAAAAAATGATAAAGGTTTGTAGGTTTTGTTTGAAACTGACCAAAATTAAAATAATAACCCAATTGTAACTATTTAAATAATTAAATCTCTTTCGTATAAAATAGTCAGGCAACATAAGACAACGGAATGAGTTTCCAAGTTGATCCGGTCAGAGAAGTAAAACAAATTAGACCGGCCCACAAACTGTGGGGGCCCAATGCCTCCAAGATCAGACCTACGCCGTGACTAGGGCCCGTGACCACTGAAGAGTCAAGCCAATTGAATAAATCGGACGGCTAGGACTCTCCACGTGGCGTGCAGAGGTCTTGAGCTCCAGGGCCCAGCCTGGCAAAAGTTAAGACTTTTTCAACACGTGGCCCACATGCACGTTGGTAGGGGTGGGTCTGGGAAAACATTGACTCGGAAATGACTTGGCAGAATTTAATTGGCTGTAATGGACTCGGCTGATGAGCTTGGTCCAGCCGATTCCAAATCGCGGAAACAGTCCGATCAAATTACCCAATCTGGAAAGTCTATTGCTTCAACGGTGGGCCCCGGCCGATTTTTTAAGTACTCGCCAAATCTGTGTTCCGGACGACGCAAACCAGTGGCCGTTCGCCACGTGTAAAGCGTCGGCTGGCCGGTCCGAAGTCCCCTTGGCGAATCCTGGCCGTTTAAGCGGGGACCATTACATTAGAGCCTGGAGCACACGACACGAGATTCGCGCTCCATTGGGACAAACGATAATCGAGATGCTCCCAAGGGAAAAAGGATGGGCTTTTTTTTAAAAAAAAAAAAAACAAAAAGGATGGCCAATTTTTAATTATACTCCCCAAATTTTAATTTTGTATGCAATAAATTCATTAATTATATTATAAAACCCACTAACCTATTAAGACAAAATTCTCATAAGATGATAACCTTTAATTTTTTTTTGTTTTAAGAATCGTCGGGGACAAAGCTAAAATTATTAGAGGGATGACAAAATTTTGCAACGTAACGTTTTATAGATATGATATTTCAATTTAATGAGACACGAGAGAAAAACCACAAAATCTTCTAGTATTTTTAATATAATTTTGAGTTACCACAAACTACTAAATAGACAATTGTCCATCTCTTTCATTTGTTTTTCCGCTATGCCTTTAAATGAATTTTTGTAGATTTTTAAATTTTTTCGAATATGATAAATATTAACTAAACACAATAATTTAGAACTTGTTACATATCTTTTAAAGTTTGTAAATTAATTAAACACAAAATTTAAAGACTTATGAGATACTTTTTAAAATTTTAAGTTGTATTATACAAAGGTAAATAGAGTAACTTGTAATTTAAGATAATTGTAATCAYATTGACATATATAAAAGAAGTGAAACAAMTATGTGTCCTACTGGAAAAAAAATTGTATAATAATTTATTGATATTTTATATGCACGAGGACGTTAGAAATAATTAAATATTGATTGTTTATAATTTGCAATGTTTGAAATTTATTAAATCATGAACCAGCACTCATATATAATTTACCAGTTCCTTTATGATGTTTGTATTTTTCGAGGAATTAATAGTAAAAGTTGTTCACATTGCATCATTCAAATTTATTTATAGCTAGTCAAATTAGTGACAAACTGGCCGAAATAACAACTTTAAATACTTCGTTAGTTATGTTCAGCCAATATTAGTCTTACTTTTTCAATTCAAACAAACTAATTTATATTCTAAGTACATTTGTTGCATCAATTTTTATATTTCAATTAAATTTGAGTCTTAATCAAACAAGTTGATTTTTACATGTCGTGTGCTCAAGTAGGTCAATTACCAAAAAAACAAAAAAAGATAATTTAATATATATTTGTAAATATTTTTAATACAACATCTAAGTCAACTTGTCCTTATTTTTAAATGATGGAATATGCTTGACCCCCAATTCATAACAATATATTTGAAGCGCTGTTGGCTCTTATTTTAATTTTTAAGATTTATTTGCTGATTAAAGTTTCAATAATGTTTACTTTTATTGACTCGATTTCAATTATTCATATTCGTAGTTTTGATTTAAATTTAAAAATCGATATGTATTTTGACTGATTAAATGTAAGAGTAATTGTTTGTTAAAGTTTTGATATGAACGTTGAAACTTTGGATGACTAATATTCTAATCTCTTGAAACAAAAGGCAAAATTACAAATTTTGTGGGTTTTTTTTTTCCTTTCCTTTCTTTCTTTCCAAATATTCATTTATTTTCAAAAGTTTCAATATTACAATTAAAATGTTTCAGAGATACCACTCAAACAAACATACGTTAATATTTTGAACGAAAATTGACACGAAATAATCTATAATCGTGTAAAAGCTTGCCAGAATCAAATATGAAAAGAGGTAAAATATTGAAGAATAAATCATTTTGAAAGGGGAGATTAAGCAAAATTGGGTATAACGTAGAGAAACAAACTAGATTCACAATTAAAGAAATAGACTTTTTAGGATAAAATTTGAAATATGAACTTTTATTGTCGATTGAAAAACAATCATTTTAAATTGTTAATTATCACGTTGTTTTATATTATATCATATCAACATTCCGTTTAAAATATTAACAAATATTCGTTGAAAGAGTATATTTAAAAACGTTTATAAAAGGTAGAGGATAGTATTTTTGTTGTTTTTTTTTTAAAATTTTTTCTTCTGTAATTTAGCCGAAACAAAAATATCATTCGCGAAGGTGATGAATAATACACGGAGATTTCATTTGCCATTTTTCAAGTAAATGGGGTCATGGACCTTCTTCTTAATGGGCCCAAATTATTACAAAGGCCCAACTATCCGGATGAAGGCATGGGCTTCCAAATTCAGCGCCTCTCCTTCGAAGCTCAATCAAGTGCGATGAACCATTTTAATTTTGGGAAGAAATGGTGCAATTACGTGATCGGAATCGACCGGCGGATTGGCCGGAGCTAATCGGCCGTTGCGTGGTCTCTCTCATGCTTGTTTTACTAACTCAATCTACTCAATTTCTAGTTCCTCAGTTCTTCTCCGATTTCTCCGTCTTCCTTCAACTCCTAATTTCGGGCATTTCTCTATCTCCTGTTCTTCTTTGGAGCCGATTGATACTTGCCATCAACTGAGAGGTTATTTTGTTTTTCTTTTTTGTTTCAGCCTTGCTGCTTCTAGCAGTTTCAGCCACTGCGGGATGGTGCAGGCGGCTTCTTCGAGTCCGTGCGTCAGCTCCAGCTTTCGTTTTCTTCAGTATACTTTTTATTTGGATGGTTTACACAGCTATTGTTCGACAAGGTAATTTTCTCCAGATTCTTTTGGTTGCTGTCAATACTTCCCAATTCTTTTCAATTACTGGCGAAGTTTTAGTTGCTTTCCCCTCCTCCTAATTGATGTTTTCTTTCAATTAGATTTGAGGGATTATAGTTCCTTAGTTCATCACAAAAATCTAGAACTCGTAAATTATTTGAACTTTCACGGATATATCGGAGCTATCTACTCCATTGTCGTTGAAATGTGAGCTCAGAGTAACATTATCTTGCGTGCCTTGCAGCTGCTTCGCACTTGATGGATCTTCTGTTTAATGGGCAGACGGTCTTTCTCATTTTTGGCCTTTGTAGGTCTGTTTCCCAACTTTTCTGTTCATTCTTTAGAACCCATTTTCTCCATAATTAACGGGAGCGAGGTTTTGTTTAACTTCGTTGATATCGTCGTATCACATTTCTTAGTTTCATACGACATCTTTGCACGAGATATATGTTATTAACTCATGATGCCTGCTTGTCTGGTGTTCTACTTCTTATTCTAACGGACAAGTTTAAATTGGCAGGATGCTATCCAGTGATCCTGGTTTGGTGTCATATAGACCACCCCCTTCGGATGTAATTGCCCAAAGTTTAGTTTYAGAAACTGACACTCACCATCAGGTTGAAAAATTAAATGAGCTTATTTTTTATGGATAACCGGGAGTCTGAGCTTATTAAATTTAAGATCCAATGTCTTGAAATATCAGCCTAGCTATTTTTCTTGCAGGAAACAGAATGTTTAACGATTAGTCCTCATCTCATGCATTCGACTGAAGCAGTATATTCTCTCTCTCTCTCTCTCTAGGATTCAGTAAAATAACAAAATGATTTTGTCATCATACAAATTACAAATGTTCATTTTACCTGGCCATTTTTCTTTTGTTTTGTTTTAAATGATTCTCGAATCTGGATTAGAACTTAGCAAAATTTACATTGTTCCGAATCTGTAACTTAATATTATAGTTTTCTCACAGCATCCAAAACCATGTTAGATGTATTATCATTGTGGATATTGCTTAGTTTCAAGGTATATATATATATATTTTTTTTTGGGCACGGGGTTGGGATTCGAACCTTGACATTTTGGGCGGAAATATATGTCTTAATTAGTTGAACTATGTTCAGATTGGCTAGTTTGTAGGTATTTATGTTGCCATGGTAGTTCTTGCATTCTTTTCTTTCAGTAATTGATTGGTATTTAACTTTTGGTTAACGTTTTTCCTCCAAGGATATTGGATTGGGTAATAGGGTGAGATGCTGCCAGATCTGCAAAGCATATGTTAAAGGCTTCGACCACCACTGTCCTGCATTTGGAAACTGTATTGGTAAATAGCACATGATGGCAGTTAAAGCTTTTATCTCAGCTCTGCTGTAAAAATCTGTCATTTAATTTATCTACTTAGGTCAGCGTCAACTTATTTTTAATCATTTAGAGCCGATATGATTTCTTCACTTGGGTTAAAATGGTGTATGCTGCATACGATTGTAGTGCAGGGCATAAAAATTATCTCCTCTTCATGGTTCTACTAATTGGATTTCTCTGGACTGAAGCTACTTACTTAGTGTGCTTATCTCAATGTAAGTGTATGACTAGCCATACCCACATTTTCAGCTTCATTGCATTGTATTTACTAGCAAACTGATTCTTCAGATGTGGCGAAGTCTGAGGTTCCTGATGGTGATGGAACTAGGTTAGAGGTGTGTTTCTGCGACCTGTATTATCATGCTTATGAATTGTTTCGAATTCATGCCCTGCAACTGACACTGTATATACCAACCATTCAGAATAGTTTCTCAAGAAAAGTGGTTTTGAGCACAATGCTATTCTCCATTCTACAATTAGTATGGCAGGTGTATTTCTATCACTTATTTGTATTTGATATCGAAGTTCAGTTCCTTTTAGTTGACACGAGATATTAAGAATTCAAAATCTGCTAAGATTCTGAAACATAATAGATGTTTTGCTATTTCTAGGTGGTGTTCTTAGTGTGGCATTTGTATTGTATCTGCTTCAACATCAGAACAGATGAATGGGTAAGTTCCTAACTGCTATGGTGCGTAAGGATTAAATAGAACAAATAATGATAATAATTCATGTGTATGATTTCTCATATGCTGTGAACTGCAATCTAACTCGCCATTTGACCAAATAGCTCGTCTCGCTATTAGAAAGTTTTTCCTCTTAGTGTTCTGTTCAATTCACCACATGGATCAATCTCCGTTTCAGATTCACTGGAAGAGGTATCCAGAATTTCAAATTTTTGTCCAGTCTGAGCAGGGTAAGAATACCTTACAGAACTATTTTCTTTCATGACTTTAGTTATTGGAATATATATTTATATACAACTATTCTGTTCAACTCGGTGGTCTGCAGGCCAAAGGTCTGGTGAAATAAGGTTCAAAAACCCATATCACAAAGGAGTTTTACAGAATGTCAAGGAGTTTATAGCGTCAAAACGGTGAAACTGGTTCTTTCTAGCCTCATAACTTGTATATTCTTACCAGCTAYCGAGTTTCGAAATCGAAGGAGCAACTTTCTATCTACCAAAAAAGAGATTCAAATTGATTGAAGCAACCATAGTAATTCATCTCTCCTTACTTGCTTATTCTCTTTTAACTTTTTGATACTTGGCATCTATGGTATTGAGATGGCATGCTGAACAAAATGAAGGCTATAAATTATCCTTTTAGATTAGTTGGCCTGAGGAACAGCTTACTAAAAAGTAGGGTATGCAAATACAAAGAGAGCAGGAAAAGGAAAAGATGTGAAAGAGAACGACAATGATGATAGTAAAATGATTTGTCATAAAAACACAGTAAAAAGTAGGATACTTAGAGAGTAAAAAGTTAAAAGAAACATTGTGTTTGCTTTACTTAGACCACATTATCAAATCCTATTATCTCTCCAAATCAATGTTTGCTTTACTTAGACCTCATTATCAAATCCCATTCTCTCTCCAAATGGATAGGTGGTAAGAGAGAGAATTCTGGATGTTGGAAGTTGGAAGGGGAGCAAGAAATTGAATGCCATCATTAAAAACTTAAATTAATAGGAAAAGCAAGTTCTTATAGGCTTTTATTACTGTTCTGCTGTTCATATTTTTGGACCCACTGTAGGGAGTTCTTTTCAAACTGTTTTAGAATGGGGATTAAATGTAGTGTAGCTTCAGACCATCATCTCTACATTTAAGTTTTATTTTGAGTCAAATCACTTTATTTTGATCTGTACTTGAAAAATAAATTACCCACTTTTGGAGAAATTATCTCACGTGAGTCACTGGCATAATATAGCTTTATTTTACTGACCATTTTCTTCTTTAAGATATAACTATTTGCTGTAGGATCGAATTATGTATCTCTCTCGAATTTGATAACCTACATAAATTCTTACTATATGCTACAATAGAATTTTATGAGTCATGCCTAATCATTTTCAATTCATGTTGTTTTCTTTTCATAGGCTAAAAAGTAGTCTCTCTCTCAAATTTGGTAACCATCACATGAGCATTGTTACAAGATCCTACGTTGAAAAAAAAAGACTTTACAAAAGTTTACGAAATCCCATGAATATTGATATGACATCTAGTAAAAATATCGATGAGTTGAAGAGAACCACGATCTTGAAGGGATATGTTAGGGACTCTGCATGTTTAGAATAGACACGGTTTTGAGATGGAACCCTACGAATATTGATAAATACGGTGGATGCTGACCTTACAAAAATTAATGATTTCATTTGGGAAGCCTTCAATCTTTCGAATCACTAAACGGGGCAATGCACCTTTTGGTGGGCGGAGAGCAGCTTTTTGCATGACAGTATCAGAAGTTTGGTAGCCTGTTTCTCCTTTTTTCCGATGGTATGGATTCTTTTGAGAAGTGGTGTTGTTTATTTTTCGTATTCTGAATATATATTGGTGACGGTCACAAATTCTAACCATAGGCTAGGAGAAGAAATCACAAAAAATAATTCAAAATTGCGTTGTAACTTCTTTGTCATCGTGCTTTCTACGCTATGCAGTTGTTGAGTCATGCTATACAAATGCCATTTTTCAATTCAATATTCATATTATTTTCTTTTTAATCTTTTRAGTTTGTAATCTCTATAAATTAACAAGCCGTAAATCCTCACATATATATCCTTTAATTTCTTTTTTACTTCTCGCAAAAGACCTGATGATATTTACGATGTGATATGAAGTTGGTGATGATATTTTTTCCCCTCACAATTTTGATGTTTGTAGTTATTTAACGATTAATCTTAACATATTGGTGTAAAATTGACGGTAAAATAACGAAATGACTACAACGATTATTCTYTAAAAGTTGAAAACGTTATTGTTTGATTTAATTTTTTATTAGTCTTTATTTCTTATTCAATTTGTAAGGACTTGTTTGATAACGTTTTAATTTTTTGTTTATGWTTTTCGTTTCTAATTTTTAAGAAAAATAAGTGTTGATAACTATTCATATGTTTCTCCTTTCTTATCTTTATTTTTTAGAAATATTTTTAAAACACTGTATGAATTTTCAAAGCAACAAAATCAAGTTATTGTTTCCGTTTCTAATTTTTTTCAAAACATAAATAAAAATATTATTTTATTATATTGATTTATAAAATGCATAATAAATAATAAAAATTCGAATATTTAATTTTAAAAATTAATTTTCTTATAAAACTTTTACTTTTTTAACTTAAATTATAGATAACAATAAACAATAAAATGGCTACGGTTACCTACCAAACATGTTTATGTTTCTTTTTTCAATTAAAAATTATAAAACAAAAAATAATAATCAAATAAAATTTTATCTCTATTGAAAAAAATATAAAAAAATAAGAAATAATAACATCACCGAAGCCGTAAACTATTTTCATTATATTATATGGACAGAGAAATCGACAAAATAAAATAGCAAAGTTATTAAACAAACACATGGGTCATGGTGTGGGTCTCCTTGATTTACTAAATTCATTTACTTATTTATTTTAATGGAATTAAGTTAATTAACCATAATTTTTGGACAAGTGTACAGAATTACATAATTTAATCAAATTGAATAATTGTAAAAACTTGAAAAGAAAACGAGATTTAGAGCAATTAATTAATCAATTAGTTGATGACTTGTTGGCCAATTGCGCAACATTCGGAATCTAACTGCCCGAAAAATATCTGAACGCTGCCCGCAGTCAGTACAGCGAGCGGCCATTACTGACACCGTCATCTTCTCTCTTCATTTTTTTTCCCAATTTCAGGCTTCTCTCTTTCTCCGATTCTATTTAGTAATGCTCCTAATGGACCTCTTCGCATTCCATGGCAGAGGCCACCACTTCTGATCGAAGTGGGCCGTTAATGGAGGCCGGAGACCGCGCCGGGGACCTCTCTTGACTCTCTTCTGCTTTGTACCGACAGATTGAAGATGGGTCAGGGGCTGAGTTGCAGTGCCACTCATGAGAATGGATTGTTTCGTGCTGTGCAGAATGGAGATTTGGAGGCGGTTCATGTTTTGTTGGAGAACGAACCCTCTCTGTTGCAGAACACTACTGTCTATGATCGCCAGTCTGCGCTTCATATTGCTGCTGCTAATGGTCAGATCGAGGTGGATTTCTTGTAATTTTGCTATTTCTTGTCTATCGAGATTTTGTTTGATTCTTGTTTGTTGGTTGAGAGTCGAGAGACTGGATGTTCTGGGCGTGGTTGTTTGGGTTTGTTGATGAGAACTCTGGTTTTTCTTTTGTGTATTTTTCTTTGTCGTTATTAGATCCTGTCTTTGCTTTTGGAACGATCTGTCAATCCGGATTTGTTGAATCGTCACAAGCAGGTGGGGTTTCTTCTTTTAATTTGATTTCCATTTGAATTTTTCTGTTACTTTCACATTGTTTTCTTCTCGCTGGGTCTTTTGATTCTTGAATGTCGTGAATGTTTCTCTCAGACTCCGCTTATGTTGGCGGCAATGCACGGGAAGATCTCATGTCTGCGGAAGCTCCTTGAAGTAGGAGCAAATGTATAGATTATTGAATCCCTTTCTTGATTGATTCCCTTTCTTGCTTTTTTGCGAAGTCGATTCGGAAAACTAATTTGGGTATAAATCTTTTCAGATTTTAAAGTTTGATTCCCTTCACGGGCGAACTTGCTTGCATTATGCTGCTTATTATGGCCATTTTGATTGCGTAGAAGCCATTCTTTCCGCGGCTCAATCAAGCCCTGTTGCTGCTTCCTGGTATATTTTGCTCTTTTTTCACGAATACCCTTTCACTTTTCAAGTACAACCAACCATTGATTAACTTATTGTGAAATAGGGGATTTGTACGATTTGTGAACATTAGAGACGGTAGGGGAGCAACCCCTTTGCACTTGGCAGCTCGTCAAAGACGACCTGAATGCATTCACATTCTGTTGGACAATGGAGCTCTCGTTAGTGCTTCAACTGGCGGATATGGGTATTTTTCTATATCAATTATTTTCAGCTTGTTCTTACGTTTAAGGTTGGATTTGACAAATTTTTATCCACAGATGCCAAGGGAGCACGCCCCTTCATTTGGCAGCTCGAGGGGGGTCCTTGGATTGCATTAGGGAACTGTTAGCTTGGGGAGCAGATCGTCTTCAGAGAGATTCCTCTGGGTATCAACATCGAAAAATATAAATTAACATCATAATCTTGCATTAGGTGTATATTTGTCTGCTAATTAGTGCCTATCTGGTTCTATACAGGAGAATTCCCTATGTAATTGCTATGAAGCACAGACATGGAACCTGTGCAGCCTTGCTGAATCCTTCATCCACAGAGCCACTTGTTTGGCCCTCACCCTTGAAGTTTATCAATGAGCTTAACCAAGAAGCAAAAGCTTTGTTGGAACAGGCTCTAATGGAGGCAAACAGGGAGAGAGAGAAGAACATCTTGAAGACAACTACAACTAATGAACTTCCCTCTCCATCACACTCTGATGCAGTGGATGGCTATTCCTCTGAGGTAATCAAGAATTCCTTCGTCATTAAAGAATGTTCAACTTTTAAAGTAGATTTTAATTAAGCCAGCCAATTGGGTATACGAAAAAGTCACAGCTCTCTCTCTTTGACTTGAAGTTGTAAAGATCTTGAACAAAGTTGTGGTGGTTGATAAGATTTTTGAAGCTTTTGGAGAAGCCCCCCCATCGGTTCACTGAGTGGTGTTTTGTCCTTTGCACTATTAGTGGCATTGCTTTCCCAATTTGGCGGCATTCACTTTACGTCTGAAAGCATCTCTGATGTGTCATGTAGACTTCTCATTTGTTTCTTAGAGAGCTTTTCAAGCTAGGCTCTTAGAAGGCACGTGATGAATGGTCCCAATATCTGCAGTTTCAATTATATCAGTTTCTCTTCACTTCTGAGTTTTTGAAAAATTATCAGCATTGCTGCTTTTTTCCCCCCATTTCTTTTTACAGGAGTTTGTGCAATGGTTCTGTGAGATTTTCAAACATTATTAGCATTGAGAAACTTGACTTTCTTGCAGATCAGTGGTGGTGATGATGCAGAGCTATGCTCCATTTGCTTTGAGCAAGCTTCCACAATTGAAGTCCAAAACTGCGGCCATGTCATGTGTGCTCAATGCACTCTTTCCCTTTGCTGCTACAGCAAGCCGGACCCAACCACGGCATGCCTGACGCCCCCAGTTTGTCCATTTTGCCGAAGCAACATCATCCGCTTGGCGGTCGCGAAAACGAAGACGAAAACAGGAGAGGAAGTTGATGACCATGAAGCCAACAACTCCAAGCAGAGAAAGGGAAGGAAGTCCCACAACTTCAGTGAGGGTGGTAGCAGCAGCTTCAAAGGGCTGTCGGCGATGAGCTCTTTCGGGAAGATCGGCGGTGGCCGGAGCTCCGGACGGATAGCTGCGGAAGATGATCAGTCAGTTGATAAGCTTGGTTAACAGGTGGAAATGGCAAATCATACCATCTTTTTGATCAATCAAGATCCCTTTTTCCCGCTTTGCAAAATGATCAAAAGATTCAATTACTCGGCTTTCGGTGTTGGGCCCCTATCAATACATATCATAGAGAAAAAAAAAGAGGAAAAAAACCAAAAAAAAAGGAATCCATGTTTGCTTGTAGAATTGGGAAAATAAATCAAATATTAAGCAAGAGAGTGAGTTTTATCTTCGTGGGTCATCTTAAGTTGTAATATGATTTGTTAATTTGAGATTGAAAAAGTCAAAGTATTAAAAAAAAAAGGAAAAAATAGTGAGAAAGATATTATTTATTTAAAAATAAATAAAATCAAAATTGTGGATGGGCCATTGGGCCCACTTGGACATTCTGCACCGAGTTTAACGAGTCAACAAGGTGATGGGCGAGGATTAAAATAATAAAATAATAATGAAGGGGGCACGTGGGTGTTGGAGGTCACGTGATGATGTCTTCTATTAATTAAATAATTCGAATAAAGTTTATCATTATATGACGTCAGAATTGTACGAAACACGACAAGGAGAAGGAGGGCTTGAGATGTCGACACGTGGAGGAACCTGGAAGAAGCAGTTACGGTCGAAGCGTACAAATCTGATCCTAATAATTTCTCCGACGATTTGATTATTATAATAATTGTGTAATTTTTTTTTTCAAAAAAAGAGAGCCGAATTAGTTTCGGTGGTTAAATTATTAGTTCATTAATTAAATGAAATCAAATATAAAATGAGTTCGGTGGGGGCATTTTCTGTTTCTTAAATATTTTTTTTTTCATTTATTGTTATTTTTATTCCAAATAAATTAATGCATTATAAATCGAAATTAAAATAACAATAACAACACGACATAAAAATTAAATAGTCAAAACGAACATAGTTGAACGRTAATTGACATGTATTCCAACCAAGAGGTTGTTAGTTCGATCCTTCACCTCCACATGTTGTATTAAAAAAATTAAATAATAGAATATTTAGAGTATATTATTATATCYATATTAGTATGATATTATTATTGATTCAGAACTAAACTTTTTTTTTTGCTAGCATATATGACAAAATAAAGTTTATTAATGACAAATATAAGAATATTTCAAATTTCAAATTTGTAAATATAACAAGAAAAAGACAAAAAAAAAATCATCTCAACATCTATTAGTATATCAATGACATAGGTTAATTATTGATAGACCGCATCAGTGATAAATAATATCAAGGATAAATGACTGTCAACAATGAAGGTAACAAGGATTCACTTCCGAGCTTTGTTATTACCGACTTATGATGCAATCGTTAGTTATCGTGTAACTGTTTGGTTGTAACATAATGGATTCCTTCCATCCGCCTATAAAAGGACTCTCACTCCTCTTAATCAAGTACACTATTTTGTCTTAGACCCACTTACTTAACTCGAATTTAGACTAATTTGAGTTTCGAGGTGTTTGTTTTTTGTGTGCATATTCCCTTACATAGCTTGCTCCATCTAAAACTCATCTGGGTGAAAAGAGATCGATCTTCAATATTTGACAACATTTAGTCTAAACAACTATTTAATAAATGTGTTCCTATTTCTAAGTAAAAACTAAAAGGTGTAATTTCTTTTCAATATTCCACACGTCGTCAAAAAACTCAAAATATCATGAGTTTGATTATTGGATAAATAAATTAAAGTTCATCATTTTTTAGTACAACATGTGGGGTGAGAGATCGAACTCACAACCTTTTAGTTGAAGATATATGTCAATTACCCATGAATACTACAGATTCAACTTCATTAGTAAAGTCTAAATCGTAATTAAAATTTGACAACCATAACCATTTGAAAAGTGGCTCTAATTTAATTTTCCAAAATACGTTTATTTAGTCTATTATTAAAATAAACAGTTTGCTTAGACAACGTCAAATCCAGATTCTAAAAAAAAAAAAAGAGAGAGGTTGAATTCAGGTGAAAAATTGACAGAAACGTATCCTAATTTGACAAGAAATTGAAATATTGAATTTTATTATTTTTGTTTTTTTTCCAATTTTTTTAATATAAATAATATTAGGTGGCTTCCAAGAATATCCTTTATTTTAATTGGATTATTTAGACATCTAACGCGTGTTTTCTGTAATTGACGTATTAAGCCCTAATGTGTACTTAAAAAAAAGGCGTATTAAGCCCTAATAGGAATTTATTATAATAAATTGTGTGACAATTTTTTTTTAACCAACACATCCATTTTTTAAGTTGTCAATGCTACTTGCACTGCATAAAAATTAAGAATCTCTCCCAGGTACACGGGAGGAAAGTCGTACATCAACGAGAAGGAAAAGAAGGAAAATAACGTTGTTTGAAGCTACTTTAGCAAGGAATTGTATAGGTCGGTTGAAACCAATTCTTTAGGCATGGATAAAATCTATGTTGCTAAAGTTCTTCCCCAATATTCTACTGTCTTCCATCCAAGGATTAGCTTCATTAATCATTTCAACCTCCCAATTAATGAGTCATATCACTTGAATTGAGTCTAATTCATCGAAGAGTTGTTGCAAATTTAGTTTGATTGCAAGTCGTAAACCACCGACTAATAAGGATTAAACAATAAGAGGATAATTGTGCATCGAACTTGACTAATGGTGAACGAGCAAATTTTTTATATTTTTTTCTTCTTTTAATATTTCTATCAAATATTTGAGTTGAGTATGAGAAACATTCTCAAACGTAGAAAATGGATCACAAAAATAAAATTAAGAAGTCTCATGATAACTTCATCATTTATATTTTCAAATATTTTGGTATGATACTTGAATTAACATATACTTTATAATTTTTATTATTAAAATTTTCATTTTCAATTAATAAAATTCTTATAATATCATATGGATTAGTACTTTTAGTTAAATAGATTATGTTTAGTAGACCTTTTTTATGTTCTTTTAGTATTACAATTTAAACCTTGTTTAAGAAATGCTCAATGCTTATATATATTCAAATTTATTACCATTAAAAAATTAATGTATCGATCAAACGAAGTACAAGACGATATCTCATTTTGTATTAAATAAGAAGAATGACCTAAAGTTTTCGTTAAATGACACATGAAATTGTTGACGATGAACCAAATTTTCAGATAAAATATTTAAAACTATGAGCACTACGTAAACAAATAGAATTTAGTAATACACACCAAAATAAATAAATAAATAAATAATTACATTTGAGATTTGGTTTCATTAAAAGAATAGAATAAAAAATTAAATGGGAAAAGAAATCTTGTGAAGAATCCTAGATAAGGTATAATAAATTTCCCTTAAATGTAAGCCATGATTGTAAAAATCCTCCAAACATGGCAACAGCCCAAAAATGATATGTATACAAAGAAAGAGGACTCAAAAGAAGATCTTCAACCTTCAAATGGTGAGACAGCAGACCCAAGGGAAAAAGCTAACCAAAGGATAAAATGATAGAGAAACAGATGAAAAAGCTCAATAAATTCCACATTGAAAAAAAGGGTCATTTTAGACTTTGAATTTTTTATTTGTTTCTAGAAGAAAGAAATTCAATCAATAGCACGAAACACATAAAAGGAATAAACCCAGTTTCAGTGTCCACAAATGCAAGCACAAAGAACTGCAACTCCATTGTCATTTGTAGGTTCAGTTCCTCCATTTCTCCCTCTTTCAACTTCTGAACCAAGGCTTGATTGAGGAGGTGCCACACAGCCATTGATGAACAAGGAGTTTGGTTCTTGGGCAGCCTCAGCTAATGCTAAATCATCTCCTCCATACATGACTACACTCTGGTTTCTCCTATACTCGTCGGCCGCTCGTCTTTCTTCTGCCAGGAAGTGGCCTAATGAAGGGCCATTGTCGTCGATGCTGTTGGCATCGGTACTCTCCCTCGAACACAAAGAGAAAAACCAAGGTCTAGACCTGGGGTTGCCCCTCTTGTCCCCTGTGTTCTCTGTTTTTCTTCCCCTGAGTGATCTTCTTGAGAGTTCCAAAATGTTAGAAACTCCTATCAGACTCCCAAGTGTGATGCTCTTGTCACGGAAGAAAGATCCCGTCGACTGCAATATAAACGTGCCGTAGAGTAAGATCGATTCTTGTGTTATTGAGATATCTTTAAAGTTATTGAGCTAAGGCTAATGCATATGATCTTAAATGAAATCTTCAGCATCAATCTTTCATATGCATTGATTTATCTACAAGATGGGATGCCAAAAATCATAGTTAAACCCAAAATCAAAAGCTTAGGGCTATTATACTGCAATAACACAAAATTATACACTCAATCTTCAAGATATAGAGATGACAAAGTTTAAGGACACAAGACTTTACATTATATGGGATCCCTCTACTACAATTGTATACCTCAGTTCTTATCAATTTGCACCACAAACTTTTTTATTCGAGTTAGTTCGGATCAATAACCATTTTAGCAATCATGGCACCACAGTAGTAACATGCAGACATCACAAACTTTGAGTTTAATGAGCAAGCAATCACTTGGTTGACACTGAAACAGTATAAAAAATGGGGGTTTCTTCTCCATCTGCATTACTTCATTTTCTATACAGCGAGCATTAAGTACAGACACAAAATAACAAAACTAAACTGTAACATTCCAATCACGTCATGTGAAATTTCTGATAATCTCCATTGCCAAAACACATTAATCTCAGTAAACTTACTGACCTCAGTGTCCAAATCGGATGATGAATCCGAGAAGGAAATAGGAGAAGCCGTCATCAAAGTGTTGAAAGACACTGATCCTGAATAGTCCCGGTTTCCAGGTACCCCAATACCCCTCACATTCAGAGGCTGTAGACCGAGAGGCCACCCCTCCCCCTTCAATCAAATCAAATAAACAATGAAAGAAAGCGATTCAGAAAAACAAAAGCAACCCGATAAAAGGAAAAGGGAAACCCCAGACAGAGCGACCCACCAGGAACAGAGCAAGTAAATAATGGAAATAGAAAAAACAGAGAGAAGACCCACATCAGGGCTCAGGAATCCAAATGAACGTGAAATAGGAAACAGATTATGTACCTGTTGAGCCATGTGAGTGCCCGCCAAGTATTAGACGAAATGCTGGACAGTTTGATTTGAGAAAAGTCACCTCAAGAATCAGATTTCGGACAGAGGAAGAGGAACTGTCATTTTCAAAATCAATCTGGGTTTCGTTGGCTGATGGGTTTGGCTACGCTGTTGAGAGCAGTGGCAAAGATGAAGGCATTTTCATGGAGCCATGGGAGTTTTGGAGGGGGAAGTCCAAATTGGTCAATAAAGAGGGAGAGGGACTGTGATTTTGGAACCATTTTTTCCTTTTTACTTTTTGATTTTGATTTTGATTTATTTCTCTTGGTTTTCTTTTGTTGACTGCAAATTTGAAGAGGAATCATTTCTGTTGGTATAATATTATTGAAGAAAGCAAAGCCCAAATTTCAGAACCTGTCTCCCTGGATTTGACGGTTGTGACCCTGGTAACCCCATTTGAAGTTTGCGGGAGACAAGGGTATAATGGGAAAGTAAAATTCAAGTCTCTTTACCCCATGATGATCGGGCAGATAGAGAAGGGTAGAACAATCCAAATTTCCAATTGAGTCCATTTAAAAATTAAAAAAAAAAAAAAACTTTTAATTAGGAAAATATAGTAGATAAAATTATTTTGGAAAACTTTATAAATTTATTACAACAAACAAACATACTAATCTTAATGAAAGTTTCTGTTTGATAGTACGTCTCAAACGAATATACATAAATTGAGAGATGGTAAACTAATAAAGTAATAAAACTTATGTACACGACAATTAAATTTTCTTTTTTTTCAAAGATTAATGACTCTTCATGATTTTTTTTCTTTCAAAATCTTGTGAAATTATTTCATGTGGCAACCCAAACCTAGTTCAAGTAATAATTACATTAACATTTTATCGATTTTATGGTTAGGATAAATTATTATATAAGATTTTTTCTATAGTTCAAGAAATGTGTCCTGAGAAATCAAAAGTTCGATTTAAAAAATGCCTTATTTACCAAAGTGATGTTCGGATTGATGTAAAACATTACCAGACTTATTTTAAATGTATTTGTTATTTTTTCACCACAACAAAATAGAGGTATAAAGATTCAAATCTCCGACCTTAATGGAAGGAATATGTGTCAATTGTCGTTAAACTACTCATGTTAGCATTTTATTTATTATTTAGACGGTGGGACATTAAAAATTGTATTGTATCAAGATAACGAGTTTATATATATATATATATATATATATATATATATATATATATATTTATTTATTTATTTATTTATTTATTTATTTATTTTAGTACATATACATTCACAGTCTAATGTGATCCCACATCGTGTGCTGTATCTTCCACTGTCTCTTTTTTATTATTTATTATTTTTATTATTATTTTGTTCATAATGAAGCCAGTCCCTTTACCATGTCCCACAAAATAAACGTCCTTAGCATACGGAATTTGTACGCACACAGCCACTTTCCCTTTCATGTCTGTACAATTTTTCATTTTTCAACCGTTTGCTTGTATTTTTTTTTCTTTTCCTTTTCCGGAATAGCGTCTAAATTGATTGGGCCATGAAAGTGGGCTTTACAAAATTCAATATGGCCCAAATTACTTCTGGATTGAGCCGAGGTCCAATGGATCGAGTCTCGAAGCCCATCTTCCTTCCATTTCACTTCGAGATAACGGCAATCTCCTTCCCAAATGTCTCAATTGGGCAGGGGTGAGCATGGGAATCCAAAAAATCCAGTCGACTGATCGAAATCGATCGAAAAGAGGTCGGTTGGTCAATTTTACATATCGAGGGTTCGGCGTCGGTTTTGAGATTCCAAAATCGAAAATGTCGGTCAGTCGGTGACCTTCGATCAGGCGATACCGACCGATAATATTATATTATTTTTTTTATTAAAAAAATCAAATGAAACGAGAAACCTAATTTAGATTTTTCATTTTAGGGTTCTTCTTCTTTCGCGCCGTCAGGCCTCCTCTCAAGTCTCACTCTCACTCTCACCCACCTCAGATCTCATCTCTCTCTCACTTTGCCATCGTCCTCCGCCATCGTCGTCGTCGACTCGCCGTCCAACCGCCCCCGGCTCTCACTATCACTTTCCCACAGTCTTTATTCTCCCTTGATCCCTCTTCTTCACCTTCGCCGACTCCCCGTCCAACCACCCCCGTTCTCCTCGTTGTCACCATCCAACCGCCTCCGCCCCCTCTGTTCTCCTTGCCGCCAAACCAAACCACACCCCCGCCCCCTCTGTCCTTTGTTCTCCTTGTCGTAAAGTCGCAAACAGCAAAAAAATAGTTATCGATTAAACCGATAAAGTTGACGCCATGCTTAGAGGGAAACCGTCGGTTTTGACATTGGGGTCGCCCAAAAACTGACCTCGACCAATCGATGGTAAAAATAAAATCATTGAATGTGGGCCCGTGCTTCTAATAATCATTGGAAGTAGGTATGAAAATTTGTATACATTTCAATAATCACTATTTTTCTCTCGATGTAATATTGTTTCACTTTTGTCTAATAATTTACAGTCTCACTTTGAGTTTTACCATTATAATCAAAGACATTCGAAGATGTAGCATTTTAAGAAGTAATTTTCCTATGAAAATATAAAATAATAATTTACAAAGTAAACCATATGTAATAATTAGTTCTTTTTGTTTATTAGCATTGTCGTGGTTGTTAATAGTTAGTTAAGCGGATCATCATATTAATACTTGAAAGTTGGATATGTCTAGATGTTAAAGACGTTGTCATTTGTTATTTAATTATTGTTTAATCTTTAAATTGGCCTATAATTCCACTTAGCAGATAAGGGGAACTTTTTTTTTTATTATTATTAAAAGATTATTAAAGAGAACACATCAATCATTAACACAACTTCTATTCCTATATACATAAATTTGTAATAAATAAACATGGACATCTAAAATCTAATTTTTCATGTCATAGGATATACAGTCAGAATCGTCTATAAAATCTTACGAAAATAATAATAGCACCTTATTTCATGTGTTATAATTATTCCCGTAAAAACAAAAATATAAAAGTGAGGTTGTCAAAAAGAACATAATGGAATGTTCCTAAAAAAACAAAAATATTACCCAGCCGTTAAAGATATATTACTCATTATTTTTTTTTATACCACACATTATTCGTTCACTTCAGGTTAAAGGTTTAAATTTATACCCTCACATTTATTGTACTAAGTAAAGAAAAATAGTGCTACCATATATTTAAAAAACATTACTTTAACTATCTCATATTGTGATGTCTGAGTAGAGAGGAGAGGTGCCATGAATAAACCGATATATATATATATATATATATATATTACATATTTGTACTTCCTAATGTGCTATCTTAATAATATCACATTCGAATATAAGGGATCCGTAGATATGGAAGAATGATAAAAAAAAAAAAAAGAATTGATAGAACTTCAAAGTTAAACCTACTCGACTTGGAGCAATTTTAGAAGAATGAGAGGAGAGAGAGATTTTTTTTTTCTTTTTTTGTTAGTTTTTCAAAATCAATGTAGTGTGACTTACGTTAATGTATCTCTATAACTAGTGTTCGTTGTCTGGACCGAGTAACACAATAATTAGCATAAGACTCGGGCACACAAACTTACGGTAAGACCTAGCTACGTCTTTACCACCACGTGATTCCAAGGGATCACCAAAAAAGCTAATAAAAAGGAAAAACACATGGTAGTTTATATTACACTACATTACAAAATAAAATTTACACGTACACAAACTTAACGAGCCACAGTAGAGATTGAGAAGAAATAATAATGTCGTTTCACGTTATTCCGCCGGTCGTTTAACTTTCTTAACAACCTTACCGCCGAGGAGATCATGCGGAGGAAACATCAGCTCCATTTCGACGAACAAATTATGGGGCATCACAATTGACCGCCCACGCGCCTTCCGTTTCATCGACGGCAGCCTTTTCGGCTTTCTCGGCGGCGGCGGACACTGAAGAACTGCCGCAGCCTCCGAGGATGTGGGAGTCTTCAAATCCTCGGGCCGATCTTCATTTTCCTCGCCTACGGACGGCGGCAACCGTACTCCCAAAGTGGACAGTAAAATATCAAACTTGTCTTTCAACCGATCTTCTTCCTCGTAGTCGCCGATTTGCCCCATCATGTCTGAAATTGAACCGCTGCTTCCGGGGAGCTGAAAGAAAATAAAAAGAAGCCATAAATTTAAACACATTAATCTAAGAAAATAATATTATATTAATTAATTAATTACTGTCGGAAAAAATGCTAATTAATTATGATTATATGGCCATGTTATGTTAATAATAGATTGATCATAATTGATTGCTTCTTTAGACTTTTCACTGAGAAAAAGAGATGGAAAAAGGTTCCGGCGTTGAAATCACCCACCGAACTGATGTGAAGGAAATCATCAAAACACAATACAACAAAATGTAATAAACAAAATAAAAAGTGCATGAACTTTGTCGCAAGAGATTTAATGTTCAAAATAATAATACAGTGGAATTAGGAGAGGGCCCCTAATTGGGAATTGGGGTTGCTTTATTTTCACTAAAAGTGATGAAGAATAATCAATCATCCATCAAGCTTCTACGCTTCTTTATTAATTAATTAAATTTCTTGCCAAAAATTTTGGCGCTGCTATGGTTTTTTCAGGCAGGCCCCCCTCTTGGCCTCAAATTTCCTCCCGGTTAAAAGTGGGTTAGTTGGCTCATCAAATCGCCTTTCCATTTTACCTAACTGCTCACCCTTAGAGGGTAGTCGGCGCACAATTTATAGGTAAGGGTGTTTTTTTTTTTTTTTTTTTTTGTAAGACCTGTCCTAAACGAAGCAGTGAATCTTCATTCTACACAATTTATAGGTAAGGACGTTACTTTTTGTGTAGGATTTGTCCTAAACGAAATGGTGAATCCTTATTTAAGCGTCCTATACGATGAGAGTTAGGAAAAAAAATTCTTTCATCCTACCCCATTTTCTTGATTTGTTTTTATATATATAAACTCTCCTAGCTAATTTCTAAACCTAAATATTTGGATGTGAAATTTATTAGAAGTTTGTTGGTCTACGAGACATGGTGTGATATTTAGGTTTCGAGAACTTGTTGTATTGATAATTTGATCAATTGTAGAATCTAAATTTTAGGATTTGTTTTTTAATGAACCATGAGACATATTAGGAAGTTTGGGATCCCATGAAAAAAAAATATTTAATAGAGAAATTTCTTTTTAAAAAAATAATGAACTGTTGAACTAAAAAAATAAAGAGGTCCAATAATTTACAATGAGGAATTCGTCCCCGCCCCAGTAGGAGTACAATTTCGTGCGGGTGGAAAATGAAATAGGGGGTGGTGCCCCGTCCACCCCAATAACACTTTTCTAATTATATTTCCGTCGAGGTTAACATTTCAATATATCTATATAGACTCAACATCGACATGTAGAAAGATTGAATTGACATTTTCATAGTATCACAAGCAAATCAACAAAATGAATATTTTTTATGAATTTTTTATTTGTATAATTTTTCAAAAATATCCATCGATATTGATATTTCCATAAAATTAAGATCTCAAAATTTTCGACTTTTAAATAATAAATAAATTGCGATGAAAAAAACTTCCATAAAAATTTGCTTAAAAAAATATGGTTTGTTTTTTGAGTATTACTTTTTTTTATTTTTATAAATATGGTATTTGAAGTTCTTGTTTTTAGTTCAATGTGCGAAAATATGTTAATTGATTTCTGGAGTACGACTTTATCCAAGCTGCGAAAATATGGTATTGAAACCCGAATGTAACAAATAAATAAATAAAAACATTAAAATAATAAACAACAAAAACTCAAAAACATGAGAATATAAAAACTTTCTAAAATTGAATATGAGAGGAAAAATAATCACATTGAATTATTTATTGGGAAAGGGATGCAGCACCAAACGTATCTTTTAGAAAATGGACATAATTATGGACAATCATTTCAATAATGAAAACTTTGAAAACAATAAACAAACATGATATTTAGTGTTGAAAAAACTCTGGAGAAAAAAAATAAATTAAATACGAAYATATGTTTGTTTCAAATAGCGATGAGCAAAACTTGAACATAGTTCAATTAGTTATAAAACATCTATTTTCGATCAAGATTTCATGAATTTTTATTATATTAAAAAAGAATTTGAATTTGGTAACATTTATATATATATTTTTTTCATTCTCAATCTTTTTAGAAACACAAACATTTAATAGTAATAGTTGTTCTGGTTCCTCGTTTAAAAGCATTTCCAAAATTGTGTATAAATTTTGAAAACAATAAAATCAAATTTTTTTTTTCTCTGGTTCCTCTTTACAATATTTTTTTTTTGACAAACATAGATAAAAATATTATTTTATTATTTTAAACATAAAATGTATAACAATATTTTAATTTGAGAAATTAATTTTCATATAAAACTTTTACTTTTTTAATTTAAAATTGTAGAGAACAATAAATAATCAAGTATCATCCAATATGTTTGTGTTTATTTTTATTTAAAAAAACAAGAAATTATTACTAGACATGAGTCTATTTTTCTTCATTAAAAAAACAAGAAATAAAAAAAAATCAAGAAATAATAAATAAGAACGATATGAGTTTAGCTCATAAATAATTAGCACTAGTTTCTAATTGAAGTCATGAGTTCGAATTCTTTTGCTCCCACTCATTGTACTAAAAAAAATAATAATAACGAATAAAAAATAAGAAATATTGATCATTGACTAGTAATGTACAAAAATAAAAAAAGGAATATGGGCCACAATGGGCTCCATTTGATAGGCTGAGCCCAAAAGAAGCACATAGCAAACTGGGCCGAGGGCCCAAATTTACAGTGGAGCGAGAGAAATATGAAAAAAGGTTGAAGAATTAGAGAAAAAGTAAAACGTCTAAGAAAATTTTAAATAACAATGAAAAAATAAACAAATAAGATAAGTAGTAACATAATTAGTAAGAACTGGAATTAATGAATGCACCATTAAATAAGGGAGAATGTAAAATTCGATAAATAATTTTTACTTCTAAATATGCGTTGGCCACTTAAAATATAAAAATATTTATTTATATATTAATGGTGGAAGAGGTACGAAAATTTTACATAACTTCCATAAATGGACGAGGAAAGCACCACAAACAGCCTGTATTTACGGAACCCACATCGTTGTGCCACGTGTTGCTACCAGCTTTTATCTCGTTAAAGATTATCCAACGGCACAGATTGATCTTCAACTGTGAGTTCGTTTAAAATGCGAATTTCAATTTTCCATTGCTCCATATTTCTGCATTAACGATTTTTGGACGCAAGGGCGGGCAGCTGAGATCGGAGCCATTTTCTTTCCTTGGGCGCGCTTTGCTTCGTTTTTCAGGTACAATGTAATGTGATTCTCTCTCACATTCTGTTCGTTTGCCGATCGAGAAAATGTCTGTAATGTGATTATTTCTGTAACGCTAAGTAGCATTATGATGCTGATCATGACGATCGATGTTGTTTTGTCGATTACTAAATTGTTCCGGTCATATATTACGAAGGATCGTTAAACGAAACTTCTGTTCCTCTTTATTACAATGTCTAAATCCATGCAGTTGCAGATTTCTTCATTTTTTTTCTATTTTGATTGTGATTTTCTTAATCTTTACTATGTTTTACATGAGTCTTTCCATTCAGTGGTGTTTGGAGATGCAATTTGATTACTATTTTTTTTTATCACTGTATTTATTTCGATAATACCAATGACCGTTGATTGTGAATCATTGTCATAATTGTCCTGTTTCATTTGAGATTCATGATTTGTAATTGGATCACAAATACAATGACCTTACGTACTGAATCTGTTAGATACCCATCGGATGCTTCGACAAATTCAATTCTGAATTGAAAAGAACAGAAGGTTTTGGAAACATCCGATGAAATCATGAAGTCTTGATTTTCCTCTATCCTTCGACTAGTTTATTGTTCTGAATATTTTTCTTTTGCCAGTGATCGAAGATGGCAGAAGGGGAGGATATTCAGCCACTTGTCTGCGACAATGGAACAGGAATGGTTAAGGTATGTCTGTTAGTTATCCAATAAAACTGTTATGCGAAACATGTTTGATTTAATGTCTGTCTGTTAGTGTTGGAATTATGTTTTCAGTTTTGTATTGAAAATGGTGATCTTTAGGCTGGGTTTGCTGGAGATGATGCTCCTAGGGCTGTGTTTCCTAGTATAGTAGGTCGCCCACGGCATACTGGTGTGATGGTTGGCATGGGCCAAAAGGATGCGTACGTTGGGGATGAAGCTCAGTCCAAACGTGGTATTTTAACTTTGAAATATCCCATTGAGCATGGTATAGTCAGTAATTGGGATGACATGGAGAAAATCTGGCATCACACCTTCTACAATGAACTTCGAGTGGCTCCAGAAGAGCACCCTGTCCTTCTCACTGAAGCACCTCTTAACCCAAAGGCTAACCGTGAAAAAATGACCCAAATCATGTTCGAGACTTTCAATACTCCTGCCATGTATGTTGCCATTCAGGCTGTTCTTTCTCTCTATGCTAGTGGACGGACGACTGGTAAGTAGATTGAATCAACAGGCATTGGTAATAAAATAAGTTCACAAGCTTTTCAATTGATAATATGATTGTTGGACTATTTTCTTTTGTTCATGATGAAATTCAATTCAGTCATATGAGCCTTTTGCCCTGTTTTATAAGGAAATGGAATTGTATGCCTATTGTTTCCATGACTTGCATTTGTTTGCCATGAGTCATTCAGCATGGATCGTGCTCTTTGCTAGAGCAAATATGATGTAACTATGCTTGTTGCATGCTCACAAGTTAAGAAGCACAAACACTTCTGTTTAAGTAACGTGTTTGAGTCACGTTGACACTTATTGGATACGTATCAGACACTTATTAATTCAATAGATATGTGTCACACACTGGCTTTACAAAGTAAATATGGATCTAACATTTGTTAGGCATGCATTGAACACCTGTCATAAAAAATAGACATAAGTAGTAATATAGGCAAAATAATAAATTTTGAGGGCAAAATACATCCAACTCTCATTTTTTAAAGCATAAAAATGTATAAACTTATCGATTTTGAAAATGGTATAAACATGTTATACACGTAAGAAAAATTGTATATTTTAATAAATGTGTACTTGCAATATCTATGTTCTAGATTTTTATGAAATGATGTATCACCGAATCTGTGTTGTGTCATATATATGTCTCGTGTCCATATATTTGTGCCTCTTAGCTCACATATTTTTGTGTGGTTCAATTTTTCTCCAGGTATTGTTTTGGATTCTGGAGATGGTGTGAGTCACACTGTCCCAATCTATGAGGGGTATGCTCTCCCCCATGCCATACTTCGTCTTGACCTTGCTGGGCGTGACCTCACTGATGCGCTTATGAAAATCCTGACGGAACGTGGGTACTCCTTCACCACCTCAGCTGAGCGTGAAATTGTGAGAGACATGAAGGAAAAGCTGGCATATATTGCTCTTGATTTTGAGCAAGAACTTGAAACTTCCAAAACTGGTTCTTCTGTTGAGAAGAGTTACGAGCTGCCTGATGGGCAAGTTATCACAATTGGTGCAGAACGTTTTCGCTGTCCTGAAGTTCTTTTCCAGCCTTCAATGATTGGAATGGAAGCTGCAGGCATCCACGAAACAACGTATAACTCCATCATGAAATGTGATGTCGACATCAGGAAGGATTTGTATGGAAACATTGTTCTTAGTGGTGGATCAACCATGTTCCCAGGCATTGCTGACCGAATGAGCAAAGAAATAACTGCGTTGGCTCCCAGCAGCATGAAAATAAAAGTGGTAGCACCACCTGAAAGAAAGTACAGTGTCTGGATTGGTGGCTCCATTTTGGCATCACTCAGCACGTTTCAGCAGGTATATGTTGTGTTGATGTTGATAAATTCTATAGTTTCTTGCTGTCAGCAATAATTTGTTATTTAACATGCTTATGGAAATCACTCTCACATATAGGCTTAGCAAGTTAAAAAGTGGCTAAAAAATTTAGACTTGGCAGAATATTTATTGAAGGGTGAAAAGTATCTTTTGAAATCAGTTTTTTTCAAAAGCCATGTAGCTGGAAATTTTGAGTGCAATGTTAATAATTTAAAATATGGACTGCAGATGTGGATCGCAAAGGCAGAGTATGATGAGTCTGGTCCATCCATTGTGCACAGGAAATGCTTCTGATTTTGCCAGACAACCAAGCAACTTCTTTTCTGGGCAGTACAATTGCATTTTGTTTTTATTCCTCGTGTTTTCCTAAAATTTTGATCTCAATGTTTCTTTTTTTGTCCGTTAAAATTATTGATTTAATAGTTGAGATTTTGTGTTAGAGCTTTCATTTTTTGAATATTTTGCTCTAATCGGCAGTTGAGAAATTAAATTAAGCTATCTGATATAGCCCATTGATGTAGGATTTTTCAGCCACTCTGCCGTTGTGCAGCCATTTTTGTTTATCTTTCGACAATCTTGCAGGTTTTATTTTTTTAGTAAAATAAATATGGACACAATGTCCCATATTTATTTGAACATTCGTCCATGAAGAGAATAAGTTATAATGTCTTTATCTATGAATCATGTTATGTGGTTAGTCGGTTGTGTATTGCTTAATTGTATGCCTATTGTATGCTGCATTATAATTAGTTGAAAATAAAAATTAAAGTTGAATTTAAAATAAGAAATAAGAAAAAGTGATAATATGTTAATGACTCGTGCATATGATTCCATTTTCCATCTAACCTTGCTATTATTCAGGGGCTTTAAATTTTACTTTCGGGACATAAAAGAAAAATGAATAATGAATGTTACCAAAACGAGCATAGTTCAGTCATAATTGACATATGCCTCAAAACAATAGATTGTGAGTTCAAAAAAAGATATTAATTTGACCTTCATTTATTGTAGAACGAAAAAGGAGCTACATATTTCAATTAACCAATTTTGGAGCCTCTCAATATAATTGAGAAATTTAAGGTCTATTTGGACTTTGACAATTATTTATGTTATTTTTTTTCTCGATTTTCTCAAAATTGTACATAAATCTGAGAAACATTAGGGAAAAAAAAAACATTAAGCACTTCATTTTTCATATATCTTGATATTTTGATTAAGATTTGATGGGGTTTTT